TATAATTTTATTAAAAAATATAAATGTATGTATAACATATTATTCTGTTTGAAATTTAAATAACAACCTAATCATTAAGTAATAATGTATCTATTTTTAGTGCTTTTCTTAACGTTCTAAAGTACCACCAAGAACAGCACGAGAAAACCAAATTAAGTTAACGATTAAAAAGTTTTGTTGTTCAAAGTTTTAACGGTAATACATTTTGTATTCAAGATTTTGACGGAAACAATTTTTATGTTCAAGATTTTAACATTCAAATTTTGGACGTTCAAGGTTTAGAATGTTCAAGATATTGATATGATATTATATTCAAGATTTTATTGTTCAATATATTGATGTTTAAGACTTTGACGTTCAACTGTTCAAAGGGCGTCCGGATACAATACAAAATATAATATTATAGTTAAGATAGCGCCCGATAATACTCTTTGATCGCTAACACTTAGTTAATGCTACATATTTAAATGTAGGTACGATAACGCTCTTCATCATAATCTGTATGGTACATTGGTATAGGTATAATAACGAATAGTGTTAGTTCTGTATCTATAACTAATGGTATTTTTGTGATAAAAACTAATTTATCGTTTGCAGTGTAATTGTGCGAACGAACGATTTGTGACAATACATAAACTAATTAGTAGGTCAAATGATCAGTTGTATTTGAGCTCATTGCAATATATCATTGAAGTCACTCGTGCGATTAAATTATTGCACAAGTATTGCACGATGAAAATTGCTCGTTAGCAACTAGCCTTACCATATTTTTATACCAAATACATTTACTTGTCGATATATAAATTAATTCTTTCTTATTATATTTAAAAATAAACGTAATAATTCACTGGCTACTTAAAAAGGGATACATGTATAAAAAATAACTTGTAATACATAAATCTAATAAATAATTTCTATTAAGTTGTCAAGGTCACAATACCAACTTTAATACAGTTAAAATTTCTAAGAATTAAATAATTGTCAAATGTATAGTTAAAATTTATTCAATTCAATATAATTTTCAAAGTAAATATTTTACAATATATAACTTAATCTATTTAAATACTTAATACTAAGCTTGGACATCAGAATGAGCATTTTGGTATTACTATACAAAATCATGTGGATGGTATGACCAATTTTAATTTTACATCAGAAATATTTTTAATCTAATACAGTATTTTTATACGCTCTTTTATAAAAGGTATTGAATGGATTAATGTTGTCTACGCACTTTCTTGTATAATTTTTACTAGTCGGTGTTTTGAGTAATCAATCATAATCTCCCCAACTGTTTTTAAACTGTTTAATTAATAGCATTCGGCGTACTCAGTAGCGCTCTTACATTCTCTGTTTTGCCGATTCCATAGTTTTATATTTAAGTTCGCACTATAGATAATTATTATCGCTTTAAGCTGACTTGGGTAAATTAGTTGATTGGTTGACTGCTTTAGGTCTTTCTCTAACCTAACCTATCCAAGTACAAAGCCTTTATGTTTACTAGAAGTCAATATCCATCAAATTTCTCTTACCATCGGGGTTTAAACATTATTCCACATGTATACAATTATGTCTCGGACCTTAGATTCAGATTAAGCCATTATCTCAACTCCAATATACATTTTGAATATTTCGCTGAAAAGCGCATAAAACTCTCAAATTCGTTATGAGATTAGTTAAAGATTATAATTGGTATGCTAATAAAAATTATATACTGTATTACTGTGCCCTATATTATAGTCCGTTCTATATTTGAGTATCATTGTTGTGTAGGATTCTCATACGGCTGATGATTCAAGACTTTTTGAGCGAGTCCGAAATATATTATTTTGTTTTGCCAGTTTCATACTTAATTCTTTAGCTGTTTCATAATTACACTAATATTGCAATTAAATACAGCCTTCCTACTTTGGCCGAACGTAGGTAGTTTGCAGATATTAGATTTATTAAGGGAATACCAAATGGTCAGGTTTTTCAAGCTTTTCTCGTTAATATTTTTAAGGTACCCCAAAGATTAATAATTCTATCCACTGTACATGTTTATATCCCACATTTCGCCACTAGTTACCATGAAAATGAATCGTTAAGAAGACTAATATAGAACGCCAATGTAAGCACTAATTTTCATTTTTAAATTTAATTTTGTATTCCTTAGATTAATTCACTTAAATTTTTATTCTGTGAGTAATGAATTTTATTTTTTAAATGTTAAGAGTACCTTAAATTATATACAAGATATTTTATTTATTGTATGTTAATAATTATACTCCGGCCCACTAGAGGAGTAAACCGCTTAGATCATGCAAACTGACAGCAGCAGCTGTACCGTGGCAACGTTATCTGCTCTACGTGACAATCATAGTCACGTCATCATAGTCGTAGACTACGGCGGCGGACTTGGGATTCGACGTCTCACGGCACAAAAAGGGCAAAATGGGGTTACGATTGAGTTTTATACAAAACTCGTTGGTCTCTGGTGAAGCCTTTTTTTTTTTACATTTAAAAAACAGGATGGTGGTGGGACCGACGTTAATCATTTCACCCCCCCCCCCCCATTCGCATCGTTTATTTGGCATAACAAATACAAAATTATTTAGTATTTACTGGGACAGTCCCCTGTTAAGTACCTCACATCATCTTTTACAGTTTTGAGAGGCTCTATCTCCTCTAAGTTTGCCTTCGACATACATTTATAGGTTCTTAATTAACGATTTGTCGTTATCTTTCTTCTTCCTCTTTGGTTTTCAGGACATATATGATAAAGTTTATATAAAATATAAAGTTGTATCGTAATAATTAAAATAAAGTAATCATGTTAAATCTAATGAGTTATTGCTAATAATAATTTCTAACGTCGTTATCACCGGTTTCACCAACTAGACTTTTCTAACTATGGTATTTTTAAGTCTTTTCTCCAATCTAGGGTATTTACTTTTCTTATTACGGTTTTATTTAAGTGCTTTCTCCGACCCAGGGTATTCACTTACAACGAGTTTCACTGGTTCTAGATAAAATAATAAAATTATAAGATATCCAAATACAATAAAGCGCCGTAAAATGTGTCATTTAAAATGGGCCAATGAGATTTGGTTATTTTATATTTAGTGCCGAGACCAAGTACACTTTGTAACGTTATTGTTAGAGGTGGGTCGAACTGTTCGAAGTTCGAAAAATCGAACCGAACGTTAGATGTTCGGTTCGAGTTTGAAAGTCGAACCCAGTTTTAAAAAACCGAACCGAACCGAACTCGATGTATACAATATTCTATATTATATACTATGTATTTCAATTTTAAATATTACAAAAATACAAATGTAAAATTAAAACCATGATATTGTCCGGGCATTGATTATTATACTATAATAAAAATAACATAATATAGATTTCTTGTGCTATTGAAATGTTGAATTATTTATAGACTTGGATATAATAATATTTTGGTTTTGTTGTTTTGTACTATTTATAATTTATATAATCGAAGTTCGTAACACGCTGAACAATATAAATATCTTTATCATTATTATTTATATTATATAATCATTATTCATTTGACATTTATATTTTTATAACATTGGTCCCGAGTCCTACATTCCTACTAATTACTCATTAATCGTTAATTTCTAATAATAGTTATCACTGTTATCAGTGTTATTGATATTTGATTAGTGGTTACTTATTTAATATTTATTAGTGACTTGAGTTTTGAGTACTTGACAGTGTACGAGTTGTACGGCATACAGTAAGTGCATACGAAATACGTTTAATGTTTATTAATTATTATTATTATTTATTAGGTCTTAAACTCTTAACTCTTAATTCTTAATAGTGTTAATTGAGTTAATTCTGTAATAGTTAATACTTAATATCAAAACTATAGAGTGTAGATAGAAACATTAACTAATCATTGTTTATTCAAGTAAGTTGTCAATAATAATTATTAATTATTAAATAATACATTTTTATTTTGTATTATTATATTTTTTTCATAAAATATAACTTATTTTTTATTTGTTTTGCCAAAATCATTATTACATACTTATTATTCACTTGTTATTTATTATACTTCTTGATATTGGTTATTAATTATTTATTTTTAATTTTTATGGATTAATTCTAAGTTTATATAATATAAGAACTGCTCCCCAGCACAAGCTTCGCTTTTAGGGGGTGCTGCAATTAATTATTGCATGTATTTATATTTTATATAATGTATCTCTTGTTGTTTTGCAAAATAATTATTATTATAATTTAGTGTTAGAAAAAAAAACAATAAAATATAATTTAATTAAAAATGTAAATATTTTTTTTCTAATACTTAATAATAATAAATATTACATAAGTATACAAAAAAGATTTTGGTTCGGTGGTTAATAGTTATTAGGTATTTAATTATATTATGATTTGTATTTTACTATTTGGTATGAATTATTATTATTATTAATTAATTACATTTTTATTTATATGGTTTTATCAATTAATAACTTTTTTTGTATTTGCTTATTTGAAGTTGTATTATAAGTATACAAATACACAATAATTAATCATTATAATACATGTATAAATAATAAATAGATATCTGGGGACTGGGATAATATTTTGAAAAAATTTTGTTTAATATTAAATTACTCTCACTCACAAGTCAAAATAGTTTTTTGAATTCAATTGTTAAGTATTATTATTATAAATAACAATATAAACATGTTTTATAAACCTTTATTGTTGACAGCATAAATCGTAGTGATCGTACATTGTAATTTTACATAATAATAATCGATGGACAGTCCCCACCGATCGTAATATGATACTGCTGATTATATATAAATATTAAATGTAATATAAATGCTGAATATGCAACACCTCTTTCCTTAAAAAAAATTATATAAAAAAAAAAAATATACATATATAATATTTTGACATTTTGTATGTTACTTAATACTTACTAGCTATGTTAGTATTTGTTTTTTTTTTTTATATATATATATCCAACTGATTTAATTACATTAGTCATAATCACTTGGAGAGTATCGCTGAGGCGGTTTTCTGGATCTAATTGGTCTGGGTGTTTTATTTATTATTGTAGGATTCGGATTTTGATTTACAACTCCTACTATTTCGGTATTTTCAGTACTTTCATTTATGTTTCTATCGGGTGTACGTGAAATAGAAATACTCGCTGGTGTCATTAATTTATCAATGAGTAATTGATCGTTATGTCTTTTCCAAATAGTTCCATCATCGAGTTTTACATCATGCGTATTGCAACTAATGGATTTAATAATTTTACCTTTTTGCCATTTATTGTTATTATTCTTATAATCTCTAGCTAAAACATAATCGCCTATATTAAATGATACTGTCCTATTACCACCATTGTTTATTTGTGATATTTGTCGTTCGATAACCACTTCACTTGTATTCGGCATTAATGCGTCAAATTGTAAACGTGTTGATCGACCTAACATTAGCTGAGCTGGCGTTTCTCGTGTTGTAGAGTGCGGTGTGTTACGATACATTAAAAGAAATTTATTTAATTGGGATTGTGCAGTCGAACATTTTTTAAAGAAATTTTTTATTGTTTTGACTGCTGATTCCGCACAACCGTTTGATTCTGGGTGAAATGGTGCGCCTGTTATGTGTCTTATGCCTAGATTTTTGCAAAATACTTGAAATTCAAACCCTGCGAAACATTTTGCGCCGTCTGATGTAATTGTTTTTGGAATGCCAAATCGTGCTATAGTTTCTGAACATTTTTGAATAACAATGTGCGCTGTCATAGAATTTACTTGAAATACTTCCAACCATTTTGTGGTTGCGTCAACAATGATAAAAAAATATTTATTTTGAAATGGTCCAAGAAAATCACAATGTACTCTAGTCCACGGTTTTTCTGGCCATTTCCACGGTGATATAATAGATTTTGGTGGATTTTGTCTAACATTAAGACAGTTGTCGCAATTTTGCGTGATATTTTCGATTTCTTTATCCATTCCTGGCCACCAAAAGTATGATCTCGCTAAACTTTTCATACTGGAAGAACCCATATGACATGAATGAAGTTCGCTAAGTATATTATTTCGAAATTTAGCTGGTATAATAACACGGTAACCCCACAATAGGCATCCCTGTTTCACTGAAATTTGAGTTTTTCGTAAATTATACGACTTAAGTTCTAAAATGTTAGAAAAATCACTATTCCATTCCCCTGTTTTGACTGCATTTAATACTTTGGCGAGAATCGTGTTTCAATTTTTATTTTAGACCAGTCTAATGTGAAAGGTGATTTTTCGTGAATAAAATTGAGACTAATACATTCTTCATTATGATTTTCGATTTTTGATTTTGAACTTTTCATTCGTGATAAGAAATCGGCTGTATTATCTTCGGATTTCACATATTTTATTTCGAAATCAAATGATGATAAAACATAGGCCCACCGTTGTAACCGATTAGCTGCGTAAATTGGGATACCTTTCTTATCACCAAAAATATGTATTAACGGTTTATGGTCGGTTTCTAATAGAAAATGTCTACCATATAAATAGTCATAAAATTTCGTAACCCCGTATATAATTGCCAAGGCTTCTTTTTCAATTTGTGGAAATTTACACTCAGAATTAGATAGAACCCTTGATGCGTAGGCTATAGGTTTTTCTGTACGATCTGGGTGTACATGTGAAGTGCTGCACCTAGTGCATAGGATGATGAGTCTACTACGAGTTTAACTGGAATATTATGATCATAATGTGCTAATACGGGTTTCGAGATTAAAATTTGTTTAACTTTGTTGAATGCTAGGTCACATTCTTATGTCCAATTCCATTCAGTGCCGTTACGTGAAAGCATGTACAATGGTTTTAAAATATTAGCAGCGTTTGGAATAAATTTTATATAGTACGTAACTAAACCTAAAAATGATTTTAGCAATGTTTTATTTTCTGGGACCATGGCGTTTTTAATAACATCTGTGTGTTTTGTTAGTGTGTGTAAACCATTTTCATCTAACCTGTGACCTAAATATTCAATTGACTTTTGTATAAATTTGCATTTATTCAACTTCACTCTTAAACCAACATTTGACAATACATTTAGTAATTTTTCTAAACGAGAGTTGTGTTCTGTGATAGTGGAACCTGCAACAATAATGTCATCTTGGAATATACCAATGCCCTCAAGACCCGCTGTGGAAGTTTCCATAGCTTTTTGGAACTCCCCTGCCGACGATTTTATTCCAAAAGGGTTACGGGTATAGTTAAATAAACCTTTATGTGTATTAATAGTGGTATATTTGCGATCAGATTCTTTAATAACCATTTGTTGATATGCGTCTTTTAAGTCTTTTTTCGAAAAATATCTTGAACCACTAATATTTGCATATAAATGTTCTATTTTTGGAAGAGGGTATTCAGTCCCTTCTAATACCGGATTTATTGTTATTTTAAAATCACCACAAATTCTAACCGTGCCATCTGGTTTCAATATTGGTACTATTGGAGTTGCCCATTCACTATAGTCGATAGGAACTAAAATATTGCTTTTAATTAAACGATCAATTTCGGTTTCAACTTTTTCTTTTAATGCTAAAGGGATAGACCTAGGTTTGCAAAATTTAGGTACCGCCCCAGCTTTGATATTTAATGAAATTTCGTATTTGTTAAAAGTATCTATTTCATCTTTAAAAACGTTGTTATATTTTTTTATAATATTATCTACACTTACGTAATTTTCCATATTGAACAAGGTAAAACATTTTATGTTTTTTATATCGTTTCGGCCTATTAATGGAGGACCACCATTGTCGATTACATAAAGACACATCGTAAATTTTTTGTTTTGATATACCGAGTCGACAAATATTTTTCCTATTGGTTTAATGTCGTTGCCGACGTAATCAGATAGCGAAATGTCATTATCTTTTAATTCGATATGACTAAACAGTTGACTATATAATCTTTTTGAAATTACGCTGTGTTGTGAGCCGGTATCAATTTCGAAGCTTACATTGTTTTTTTCTACAATTACATTTACTGTAAACGGTTTCACAGCTTTGTTTTGAGAGTTTTGATCAATTATAGAAAAAAAAGTATTTGAAAGATCATAATTAACTGTTTCGTCATCATCATCGTTATCATATAAAAATTTATTTTGTGTTTTGTTATTTTTCATTTCCTTCTTACCTTTTTTACATACAGTAGACAAATGACCCTTTTCACCGCAATTGTTGCATTTGTAATCCTTGTATCTGCAGTCTTTTTGAATATGATTGGAACGGCCACAAATCTCACATTTGATTTTTGATTCTTTGTGTGTGTTGAAACCCTGTTTGACTTGATTATGTCCATTATTTTTCTTTTGGTACTTCAAGTCTGCGTATTCTTCTTTTTTCCAGCCACTTTTGTCATTTATTACAGCTTCTTTGGCTGTCGCAATTTCAATTAGATTTGAATATGTAACTCCAACTTTTGAGGCATCTTCTTCTAACAGACGATCTTGAATTGGTCCTGAACCCATACCGACAACGAATATGTCTCGAATAACCGTTGATAGTTCTGACGAAAAACCACATTTTGAAGCAAGATTTTTGTCACGTGCACCCCATTGGCACACTGATTCATCCTGTCTTTGTTTAGCTTGATAAAATGTATACCTAGCCGCAAAGTACGATTTTATTGGTTTGAAATATTTGTTCAAACTTTTTATTAGAGTGTCATACTCAACATCGTTAGGCGTGCTAGGAACACATAGACTAAAAAGTACTTTGTGAATTTCTTCACTAACGGATGATAATAATATTGCTCTTTTTTGAATATTGCATTTGCCAAAAAAAAATTTGTCAATTTTGATTCAAAAATTGTAATATCCATACCTGTTTCAAAGGTTCCAGGTGACCCTATAATTTGATTGAAGTTCACTATGGATTCTGTCTTAGGAGTCGCCATTTTGTATTAGTATGAATACAACACTTGAAACTTTTAATACACTAGTGATTACGATTAAACTAATATTTTCCTCGTCGCCAATTTGTTAAGTATTATTATTATAAATAACAATATAAACATGTTTTATAAACCTTTATTGTTGACAGCATAAATCGTAGTGATCGTACATTGTAATTTTACATAATAATAATCGATGGATAGTCCCCACCGATCGTAATATGATACTGCTGATTATATATAAATATTAAATGTAATATAAATGCTGAATAAGCAACATCAATGATTTATAATTTTATATTGTTGCTTTCAAATTTAAATGTATCTCTAATTATAAATTATTAATTTATTATAATTTTTATCTTATTTCTCATATAATAATAATATTATTAACTGGTTTGGATGTTCCTAACCTTGCAGTTGTCTGGTAAATTTTCTTTCTGGGAATCTTTGTAGTTTGTATCTATTATTTATTGATTAGTAATTACTAATTACCAATTACCAATTACTTATATATTTGCTTTATGTATTAGAATGGCAAGTGGGTCAATGTTGAAATATTTTCAAACAAATAATTCTGAATTAAACAGTATTGTGGAAGATGAAGATAAACCAAGAGAAATATCTGAACAGCAAACTAAACAAACTATTGAAAAAAAAAGAAAAAAAATTGTAAATAAAAAAAAAAAATAACTGTAAATTTTTTAAATTTACAGTTGTTTTAAGAAAATATCTGAAGATCAATCCAAATGTAATTTTTGTAACAAAAATTTAAAAACACCAAACTCAACTACAACTACAATGACAAGGCATTTAAAAACTCAAAATCCTAAAAAATTTCAAGATTATCAGAATGAAATTACATACTAATGAAATAAATAACAAAAAAAGAAAGAATAAAGATACATCTCAACAACAAGATATCATGAAATCAATGTCAAAATCTGAAAAATTTTCAGCTAATAATAAAAAAGCAAAGTTGATTACAGAAAGAATTGTGGAAATGATTGCTTTGGATTACCAACCTATTTAAATTGTAGAAGATTATGGATTTAAAACGGTGATAGCTGCTGCTGAGGATAGATATGTTTTACCAAGTCGTAAGTTACTATCTCAAAAACTAATACCAGAGTTGTATGCGAACAAAAAAAATTGTTAATGACTGAAATTAAAATGGATTTAAAAAATATAAAATCAATTTCTTTTACATTTGATCTTTGGTCAAATCAAGCACAGCAGTCTTACATTTCTCTAACTTGCCATTACCTAACGAACACATTTAAACTCAAAAATAAAACTGTTGGTTGTTCCTACTTTCCATGAGAGCATACAGGTAATGCCATATATAATAAAATTAAAACTATGATTGCAGAATGGAATATTTTTTACTATTGAAAATAGTAACTCCAATATATCCATTTTTTTTGTTACTGATAATGCTTGAAATATATCCAGTACCCTTAGTCACAGTGGAAGTAACTTTGAACACATTTCATGTACAGCACATACTCTTCAGTTGGCAATTGATGATGCTGTAAAAGCAATTAACATGACTGACCTGTTGAAACTATGTAAAGCAATTGTAACGTATTACAATCATAGCAATATCGCATCTGAACGATTAGCAGAAACACAAAAAAGGTTAAATTTAGCACCACATAAACTTATTCAAATGGTCAACACTCGATGGAATAGTATATATTTGATGCTACAAAGAATGTTAGAGCAGAAAGATGCCATTTTAATTGACTTACCTAAAATTAAAAAAAGACAGTTATTGTTTGCTAGAGATTGGAATATGATCGAAAGTTATGTTATTCTTCTCAAGTCGGTATTTGAAGCAACGAAAGAACTCAGTCGAGAAGATACACCTACATTATCTATGGTACTACCAATCATTTATACAATTGAGGCTAAATTAAATTTATTTTTGACAAGTATGACATAAAATCCTGGAACATGCTTCGCAGAAAATTTATTAAGATCCATGTGTAAACGATTTGATGTATATAAAGAAAATAAAATCTATATTATAGCTATGTTGGTAGATCCAAGATTTAAAGGAATTATGTTAAATGAGTATGAGCTATTACAAGCAAAGTCATACGTTACATCAGAAGCAGAAAAATATAGATACAATGATGAGATATTTTCACAACCAAGCACTTCAGATGAACTTTAAAATTCAAACTATTCACTTTGGGACATACTTCATGAGCGTTCAGTATCAAAAGAATCTACTACAGCAACTTCAATAAATGAAGTAACAATTGAAGTATGATATTTAAATTTCCATTAATAATAGTATAATTATTAATTATAATAAAATACATTAAAAAATATTAATAAATATTAAATAATTATAATTGTTTATTAATTGTTGTTAGTTCTTACTCTAATATTTTTACTATTTTTTTAATTTGTTAGATAGAAAATTACTTAAAGCTAAAGAACATTGATCCAACAGCAGATCCATTAAAGTGGTGGAAAGAAAATTATCATACATTTCCTCACTTGCTACCAGTGATTTTCAAATTTTTGGGTTTACCAGGTACATCGGTTTGTAGTGAAAGACTGTTTTCTGGAAGTGGATTAACAGTATCCTCAAGAAGAACACGACTGTCTCCATTTTTAGTGAATATCTTGTATTTTTACACAATAATTTATAATATTGTTTAATAATTATTAATTTTATAATTAATATCTTATTATTTATTATTAATTAAACACTGTGAAATAAAAATGTATGTTTGGTATTATATTATACTACTATATACTATATAGAATAAATAAGTAGTAAGCTACAGCCTAAAAGGCTGACACCAGAAAACATGAATAATTTAGTTTTGAACATTAAACTATAAATAACTATTATAATTTATAAAGTATCAATAAAAATCAAGTATTTACTTATAATATATTACAATTGTCATATTGATATTTTATAATAAGGGTTAATAATTATAATACTAAGGTTCGGTTCGATATACGATTAAAAAGTTCGGTTCGATACACAATTAAAAAGTTCGGTTCGAGACCATATTTTTGAGTTCGACCCACCTCTAGTTATTGTACATACGACATTAGGTAACATCATTATCAGCCATCATTCTTTATGTGCTCAATTTTTTTTGTTTGGCTCAAAAATAAGTTAAGTACCTTATTCTCGTCACGATAAAAGGTTCGCTCATGGAAGTGCATGTTCTCTAGTGTAACGTGATCATTTAAAATTTTAGTTCAATAGCTCCGCGACAATAAATTAACATTTGTGCAATACAAAATGTCGTTATTATCTTATGATAAATTTTAAATAAATAATGCAATACATTTGTATTATTCAAAAATAAATATATGATATATTGAATATATATTTAATAAAAGTTGTTTTTTAAATTAAATCATATTAGCTATTAATTAGTGGACCAATCAGAACATGGAAAATGTTTATATACAGCCCACGAGCGAAAACATTTGTGGAATTAATGCTCGATGTTAGTATGGACATGATTATTTATATCATCATTGCTTTTATCGTTGTTGTATTAGACGTCTTAAGTATAATGGATGGAAAAAACTTCTCTTTTCTTTAGTTGAACAAACAACCAAGTATTCAATTATAACAAATTACATGCTAATTTTTAATCCATAAAATAACATTTCTTTTACTTTTTAATAGATTGAAAAATAATAAAAAATTTCTTTCAATTAGTAATTATTATATATGTGTAACAAAAATGAATATAAATATCACGAAGAAAATAACTCGTTGGTTTTCAGAAGTCAGAAGCAGACAGCATTGTATATAGCATTGATAACTTACCGAAAGAGTAAACATTAATATTTTATTTTTGTTTTAACGGTCTTTATTTATTTATTTATTTTTATTTCTAAAATTTGTTTTGCAGCATATCAGCATTAAAAAATAAAATAAATAAATTATATAATATATATATTTAATATATAATAATAAATTTATAAAAAAAGGTATAAATATAATAATTTATAATTTTAATCATACAAAAACTTTTATAATTATATTAAATAAGAAAGGACATTTGAACTCTAAATTTTTGCAATTTTGGAACGAATATTTAACGGAACAATTATTTATAGAAATAAAAATAATGTAAAATTACAATTAAACAAGATAAATTAAAATCCTTGATAACAAGCACAAGTATATGATTCAAATATACTGGAACAAAATGGACCAAAATCAATTTTAATGAAATTGATTTGAACAGACTTGCTATAGTTCTATTTACTATCTACTAAGGGAGTAATAAGTAATACACAAGCTGTTCACCGTTTCACCGCAAGACTATTTGTCGCGGATAGAATCACCTCACGAAATATCAATAATACCAATATTATTTTATATCATTTATCATTGAATATTGATATACAATAATTATTCTTAGGTAATAACTTTTTTTCAAACTTCATCACTTGCAATTTTACATGCGTTCCTTTGAATGACACGCTATAAGTTGTGAAACATTAATTTTGATGTATTTCTCATTTTAAATTAAAAATATTTTATCCCCCCTCCCCCACTGTTAGAAATTGCAAATTTAATCTTTGTTTGTGTATAAATGTACAGCTAATTCATTGGCGTGCGCATGGGGTAAGAAGTTATGCGCTTGTATACTGTAACCCGGTAGCATATTAACATACTATACATTGCTACACGACCGTTGTTCTCTGATTGGCCGATTAAAATTTGCCGCGGTTTTATTCTATGATATGTTAAAATTTATAAATTTCCTATTATGATTTTAAATAATAAGTGTTATACGTAAATGGGTTATTGTTTTTACGGATTTTAATTATACAAATTAGGTACTATTATAATTAGCAAAATGAATTTGTATTTGCCTAAGTTGTTCATTAACAAAGTAATTACTGAACTAGAATATTATGAATGTGTTATTCAATCAAATATTAAAACTAAAGAAGATTGTAATTTGTGGATTTCTAAATTTGGGAAATTAAATAATATT